ATATAGAAGAGACTTGACCATTCCCTTTGTGACCTGAACAGTTTTCTTGTTGGCTTTTGACGCTCGATGGAACTTAATGATGTGCTGAAAAAAAAAAAAAAAAAAGGTAAACGAGTTTTCTTGTTTCATGTAAGAACATCATTCACTCTGCGCCCAATGCTGAATACCACTTCAATTTTCTCAAAAATGGTGTGAAATATCAAATGGGAAGGAGTGTCCCTAACAGATATATGACATCATGTACCTTCTGTTGAAAGAATAGTGCAGTAGACTACCCATTTCACTTACCCACAAATCATGTTCTGCATAATCAAATAACAGCCAAACTTTTCTGTCAGCGTGTGAAAGGAATACTCTCTGGAGGTTTATCACGTTAGGATGTTTCAACTCTCGCAACAACTGGAAAAATAAACTATTGTTAGTTACTTGTCATCACATATATTTATCTTAGCTTAAGGTATTAAAGTCTCATGAGACACATAAAATATATAAAAATGTAAAATGTCTCGAGCACAGATAGGATACTTTACTTTCTGCTAACAATATTTGGGATTTCTCAACTAAGAGTGGAAAGATCTTTGAGTGTTGTTTTTATTCTAACTGATCTATGAAGAGTGTCAGAAGCCAACAGGCTGACACACTTTGAAATAAAATAAGAATAAACTATCAAATTCTCCACTTACTGCAATTTCCCTGCATGCTGACATAGACAATCCAGTGCCTTCTATCTGCTTGAGGGCATATTCTTTAGTGTCCAACCTGAAATTGAAATAAATATAATTTTTCTAAACCTTTATTGACTCTCAATTCCTATTTCAAAGTAGCCCCTATGATAAAAAAAAAATATGAAAGCAGCTAGGTCTGCCCTCGGCCTTTTCCTCTTCCTCTTTTCGCAAGAAGCCAAATTTCTGACAAAATACATAGAGAAACATACAACTTCTCATCGATATGGAAGAGAAATGCCAAAACAGGAACACATAATAGGCTATTCTAAAGGCATTAATTGACTTAAAGAAACCACACCAAACAGGATTTTTTCCCTCTTACATTAACTTATTCTACCTGTAAGTGCCATTCTCAAGTGGGCCTAATATGTGCATCAGAAATGATGTCAAATATGACTTGCAACAAACTCAGGGACATAAATGGAAATTTACATCAGTTTACAGAAATCAACTTTTGCAAACCATGATGTGGATTTAAATTATTAGTATACCATTTATAGCAAACAAACTTATACCAAGTAAATTTATAATAGGATATTTGTCTGATGGATAATACTGTTTTCTCTGTCTCTGTCATTCTCTGTTTTCTCTGACGTGTCCAAGTGACTGGACACACTAAAATTCATGTTAGTGCATCCATACTGTAAAGCCTCTCAGATTTTGAGGAAAAGGGACTACACATATCTGTTCTTCCCCTGAATTTAAAAGGCAAGTTTATGCTAATTAGAAATCACTGTGATCAGCTTGTCCATTTTAATAAAAAAAACCCTTAAGGGCTACAGAATGAATGAAAACTCACATACCTTTTTTCACAAGCTATGTATAAAACACATGTATTTCTATTCATAAAACCATAATTCTTAACCTCAATATACTACTTTCCTATTTTTCACACCTAATATTACCACTTGAAACTATATTTTGCAAACTGATATCTAATATACAAGCTACAGATAATATTGCAATAATGAGTTTTAATCTGTCAAAAGGGGAGCAATATATAGATTTCACAGACTGAAAGTTGTAACAGGATATTCTAGTAATCCATTTAATCTAACTTTGGGTTACAACATTAAAGATACCTGCAAATAATAATAATAGATAGACAAAAGGAAATTATTTTCTGCAGATTTTCTGCATAGGATTTTGACCTAGAATAGTAAAGGAACCATCATAGCAATGAAATTTTTTCATCTAAGACAATTCCAACATAGAAGTGAAAATAATTATAAGCTAAGGTAAAGTTTACAAGATTACTGCATATGCCGCAAGCCTCCTCCTTGCTGTTGCTCTGGCAAAGGCCATGGAATCTCTGCCACGAACATCCTGCCGAGACAAGAATTTGCTGACCTTCAATGCAATTTGGTATGGACAAAGGAACCAGCCTAAACTTTTCGGTCAATATGTAGTATAAGTTGGGTAATAAAACCTACATGAAATGATAGAACAGTACAAACCAAGACAAAGTTCTTCTATGGCAATATGTGTGCAAATGCTTCCCAAGGGTGCTAGGCATACATATTACCACAAAAGAACTTTGTCTTGGTTTGTATTGTTATATCATTTCATGTAGGTTTTATTACCTAACTCTGCCTTATACTACATATTGCCCAAATTAATTATTCAAATACAGACTGGTTGTAGACAATAGACAAGACTGGAGAACAAAGACTGATTGTAGATTTGAGACACATCTATAGATTATTGAAAAGATTGAAGACTACAAACAAGAAAGAAGATGCAAGATTGTAGATGGCAGACTGACTCCTTGCAAACCAACTCGAGTTTCAAATAGATTCAGACTAATCAACATAATTGCAACAAAGAAATCCCCTTTCGGAAAATCGCTACATAATAGTCGCTAACCCATAGCCGAAATAAATACATCAACCTCCACGAAAACAACACCAAAGGGAAAAAACAAAAAACAAAAAACAACAAAAAAAAAAGATCCGACCTCAAAACCTTAAAAAAAAAAACAAAAAAAAATTCAACCACGACCCTCCCCATCCCATCCCCTTCCCCTTCAATTAAACCTTACCCATCTTTCCTCTTCGCCTTATACACATGGCCATACGTTCCCCTGCCGACCTTGCAACCCTCGTAACTAAACAAATCCTCCACTTTGGCCCTCTCGTTGTTCAATTTCTCCTTCCACTCGTAGTCCATGGCGAGCGAAGCGGCGGCGACGAGGACCTCGGTTTGTTTACGTGGCCGTCTGCGCATGCGTGGACTGCGCCGCGGCCCCGGCTTCGGCTTCGGGCTCTTGTTCGGATTGTTCTGTTGCTGTTGTTGGTACTGGTGGTATTAGTGTCGGTATTGTTATTAATATCATTATCATTATTGTTATTATTATTATCATCATTATTGTCATTATTATTATTATTATTATTATTATTATTATTATTATTATTATTATTATTATTATTATTATTATTATTATTATTATTATTATTATTATCTTTATTATTATTATTATAATAATATAGATTTGAAGGAATTGGTAGAAATTTACGCAGGCACACAACCATTCAGAGAGAGAATACTGGAAAGTCTGACATGAAAATTTAAGAACTCAAGGAAAAGGTAAAAGCAGAAACCAAGATTGGCAACGGTATTCAAATCGGAACAAACTATCTGCAAGGGAAAAAAATGAGGAAACTCTTACGCAGATTGAAAGCAATTTGTCAAGCAGCCAGTCTCAAATAATGGAAGTGACAAAAAAGATGACACCTACACATCCCGATGTATTTAAAGGAAACGAAACTGTAAATTAGATGAGAAAAAAAGAAATAAAGACCTAGCTTGCAGTCACGGCAAACACAAATGAATTCGTCACACTCTGGGCAACACGCAAGGAATATTGCTTATCTGGCTCATATGACATAATCTTCTTTATTGGGACAGTTGTAGAAGACGGAATCGAGCAATACAACTGTAGTGTGGCTAGTTACCGCGCGCGACATTTTCTCTCGTGCCGGCGTTTTTCCTCCCCCCGCGCGCTCCTTTGGTCGGGCGATCTGTACCTCCCCCGTCGTGGCTTTCTTTCTTTCTTCCTCAACCTGATGGATTCCACCCTCTTTTTATTCTTCATTTTTAGTGGTTTTTATCCTTGGTTTTCGTGTTTGTTTTGTTTTGTTTTTAGTTTGCCCGTTTGTGTACATTTTTCTTGGGTTTTCTTTTCACTTTAAACAGCTTGTTTTTTTATTTTTCAGATGAAGTTCTTTGTCGGTAGTCCTAGTTTTAATTATCTTGTAGTTCCCTTGTTTTAATCAATTCTATATGAATTATATGAATGTTATAGTGACTAGGGTGACCATTTTTCCAAATATTATTTTCATCTATTATTTTACTCATGTTCACTATGGTGACTGTTTTATATTTTTTCTCATTTAAACTAAATTACCTGCTATTAATCAATATAGGCAGGTTTTCATTTTTTTTTAAATTTGTAAATCTGTACATAGTGACGTCACCATCTCCCCCTCACCCCCCAATGGCCGCGAAAAAATAAACAGTTCGCTATATAGGAGCTGGATGTGGTCATACTTTTATATGATAATAATTATTCATTAATCATTCATTTATTTTACGAGTGCTATTCTTTGTTTAGGTTTTATGATTCAGTTTTACTTTTAATTTTATACAGCATGTTTTTTGTTTCAGGAGTTTCATATTGATTTCTAAAGTAAGTTTTCACTTGTATCACTGCTTAATTTGGTCTGAATCCATTTTTTTTAACGTAATTCTTAAAGATGGTTTTAACTTTATTTTTTTATGACATCATTGTGTTGCGCCAAAATAAGCTCCTCCAACCACACTACCACCTCATGGGACTTCCAGGGATTAAAATAATATACTTTATTGAATACGTAACGTGTCCCTGGATCATACTGGAATTTTGATACGCCACATAACGAAAACAAGAAATTGATGGTCAACATTCTCAAGTACATAAATCCCGAATTCTTGGAAGGAAATATAACTCAGAGGAAGTTGGAATTATTCGAAAACAAAGTAAAAGAAACGCCCTTTATAAAGAGACATTCATGAATAAACAAAGGGTAAATGGTATAATAAAGAAAGCTAAAATCCTAAACACTCACGAAGAATACAAAAAAAAAAAAAAAAAAATCCGGACGGCGAGAAAATATGACCAAAGATGACAGAGAAATATTGCCGAAGAAAAAAATGGAAGAGTTAAGAAAAACGAACAAAAAAGTGAAGGAACGAAAATACGGAAACAGACAACCAAAAAGTGTACCGGAAAATCATATAGAAATAGTTTATACAAATACAGATGGTTTTATGTTTGAAGCTACTAGAACTAGATATAATTATTGAAAGTAATAAACCAGATGTAATATGCATCACTGAATCCAAACTGAATCCCTCTCAAGATATTACTCATTTGTTATTTGTACTAACACCTATCCATGTCTTGACGTAGATCTAAAAAAGAAAACGTGATTCTTTAAGGACAGGTTACTATGAAAAGGTGTTTCTTTAAGGACAGGTTGCTATGAAAAGGTGTTTCTTTAAGGACAGGTTACTATGAAAAGGTGTTTCTTTAAGGACAGGTTACTATGAAAAGGTGTTTCTTTAAGGACAGGTTGCTATGAAAAGGTGTTTCTTATGGGACAGTTTACTATGAAAAGGTAATTCTTTAAGGCTAGACTACTGAGAAAGAGGGTTAATGGTTAATCCAGTTGGCACGGATGGCAAGAATAAATGCCGTGACCACTGTAATATAAGTTCATTTATCATATTTACACATTGATGGCTCTACAAAACCTTAGTCACCAAGTAGTCAGTTATTACTCTTCTCCTTGATTTTGTAAAGTTTCTTTTGTATTATTTCATCGTCTTTAATGCTACCATTTTTATATAACATCTAATAACCATAATATCAATAAGAATAATAACAATATCGATATCAATTGTATTACAAAGAAAAATGCATTTTCCCGCTGAGCACACGTGGAAAAATCGGGACAGTGCGAAAGTCCGCATTCCTTGTGTTAATGGTTAAAATAAATAACTGCGCTAGACATCAAAGGACATATAGCACTATGAAAAATTACTGTGGTAAAAAGGGTAGAAACGAGCTAATGATTAGGATAAGTGGACAGAAGAAAGGGGCAAAGGAGAGAAGGAAAAGGAAAAAGGGAGGAGAAAAGACCCTGCACAATTAGCTGAGGCTGAGGACCAAGGCAGGGCTGATCCCCCACATTCAGCCTCGGTCTCCGTCTACTACCCCCCCCCCCCGCCCCCTCCCATGACGATAATAACGAGCAGGGGATTGTGGGAAGGAGGTACTGAGAGAAAAAAAAAATGTTCAAGGGGATACTGCTGTGAAAACATGATTGTTTCAGGATAGACTACTGTATTCGGTCATAGCTAGGCGAGAGAAAACGGAATTTCCTAAAGATAACCTATTGTATTCTGCATGTTCCAAGATCTCGAAGTAAGAAAATCATCACTCAGTCTAAAGATAGCCAATGAAGTTATATTAATAATTTATGAACTGAGAATCAGACCACAGGCGTGAATGATGTTCCTAAATCAGACCAGGATCCCCTTCCCCGCATCACCCGTGGGAACCTGCGCGGCTTAGAGACCATTTTGAGGATGGGAATAATCTGACCTTACTTGAATTAGACCTTGCTCTTCATAAAACGCGGTAGAGGTAATGCAGAATGGGGCTAATCAAGGACGACGAAAAACACATGTAAGTAGTATTATACAACTTATGATTTGCTCAATTGTTTTTAAAAGTACGTATATATATGCATATATGTGTATATAAGCACATATATTGTTTATATATATGATATACTTTACACACACACACACACACTTACGGAGTGCCGCAAGAAATATCTTAGGTCCCCTTTTGTTCTTGTTATACGTAAATGACATGGTTAATTCCAGCTCCATATACTTCATCGTATTCGCTGATGACTGCACTCTTTACGTCACTCATTCTGACTTAAACTCATCAATGGCTAACCACGTAATTTGTAAAACAAGGAGCAAGGGATTGGTGGGGGGACGTGTTCCAATCAAGTGAAAATGAAAGGTAACCCAAGGTTATATAGCAAAGTTTATGCGCTAGATATCAAAGGTCATATGGCACTATAGAAAGATGTAATAGAGAAAAAGTGTAAAGAAGGGGTTAGTTTATGATTATATGTGTTACATGTCAGTATAGCAGTTCAAGAAGGTAGAGAAAGAGCGGTTGACAAAGGAAGATGTGATGGGATTTTGCAAAGGTGTCTGTAGGGTAAGGTAGGGATTAGGAAAGGAGAAAAGGTATATGGGCAATTGGATCAAAGATTCAGTGAGAATGTCAGGAGGGAGAGAATCTAGGGAAGGGGGGAGGGGTTGCTGTGACAAAGGGTCGGGAGGTGAGGAGGGGTTGGAGGTGGGGGTTAGACAGCTGTAACAGGGGGGGGGGGGTGTTGGGACGAAGTAGGAGGAAAGAGTGTAAGGAGAACATTAGTTGGGGGATGATGGCAGTTACTTTGAGTGTGGAAGGAATTGGGGTCGACAGACTGGAGGATGGTTAAGGTATAGGAATGTCATCGTAGGTCATGATTAGATAGTTTCGAATGTCTTCAAGAATTTCTGCAGTGGAGTTGGTTGGGGACGTCTTAGAAACAGTTTTCCTATGGGGTGGGGGGATGGGAAGAGGGGACAGATCTTTGAAGGGCGGAGGGACAGGTTGATGGAGAGGAGAGGATGGACGTTTAGCTGGTCTTGTACTGGGGAAATAGTGATTGAAGTGTCTGGAATAGCGATGGAGACTGGGGTGTATGGGCTTAGAATGGGAAAAAAAGAATTTGACTGGAACAATCAGGGCGGCTACGGAAGGAAACTTCGCCTACTTGTTTTTGGAGGGATTGCTGAAAGAGGAGTGTTGTCAGAGTAAGGAACTGTCAGGGGAAGCGTGAAAAAATGGTCCCGTTTGGCTGGGCTAAATGGGGTAGTTGGTGAAGCAAGGAGGGCATAGCAGTAGCAGTTTTCAGAATAAGTGGGGTTATTTGATGAAGGGGCAAGTCTTAATACCCCTAATAATAGAATCAAGTCTTCGTTATTTGCCATGGTAAGTTTACGGTAACTTTCGGAGAACCAGTCCTTCCCTCAGAGTCCCGTTGAGGCGTCAGAACTAGACAATTAAACGGGAATACCGTGGCCATGGCTCCTCCAGGCCGTGCGTGACTGGAACAAAGTCAGCCTTTCATCCATTCAACACGGCTCTCACACCTTAGGAGAAGAGAGGGAAGCGAAAAGGAGGAAGGGAAAAGATCGTGAAAAAATAGTTGAGTTCAGGGCCGAGTAGGGATGATCACCAGCATCGGAGTTCTAGTCTCCGTCTCCTAAGCAACCCCCCCCCCCCAAACAACAACGGGTATGGGATGAGGGGGAGTAAACATTACGTAATCCTCTGCGTTACAAATTTCCTTACTGAGAATCGCCCACAGCCAAGCAAATGTATAATATCATGGACCCCGAGTATGGAATAGCATTCCAACATTCATCAGAACAAAACCAGCAAAGAGTAGTTTCAAAAAAGCTCTCCGTGAGCAAATGTTAACATATTAAGTATAGAAAACACTGCATTATGTCATTGCTTTAAAATATAAAACATACTATACTACTTCATATGATATTACTCTGACTTTCATGTTTTTCTTTCTTTTCATGCTGCAGATTATGTCGAACATGTGCTAAAGGTTGGATAATTACTTTTTCATTAATAGTCTGTAATTTTACAACGTTATTTTTTAGATTGTACTGTGTCATCCTGTTGGCATTTGGAGTTTTGTATCCCCAGCTTGTTTCTGAATCTCTAATATCTATCTCATTATTATCTTTTGTAGCCATGATCAATGATTAGATATACTAGGCGTTTAAAACAGTGCATTAATGAAGGTAGAAATCATCATCAAGATCAGCCAGTTTTGTACATCCCAAACTCATATACTATGTATAATTTCATTTGGCTAAATAAAGTATTCAATATCAGTACCTCTTCTCCCTCCTTATTTCCTTGGTAGTTTTACACGTAGAAGTGGCATAATGCATCATTATAAACGTCGATCTCTTCTTTGCTACTGATGGATCCCTGGTTCTGTTTTACCTAACAAAACGGATATGGTGGTATATATATCATAATCAGGCATTTCATCCTATAGACAGAAAGGCACGTGCTATAAAACAGGTGTCGATTTGTAAATTCCTTACCATAAATAAAACTCCTAAGGAAAAGAGCTATGAAAGTCGAGCCAGCTTCTATGATTGCCGTTTTATTTACACAACGGATACAGGCCTATGCCATCTCTTTCAAAATATTGAGTAAGCATTTCCATTACTACTGTAATTTGAACTACGAATATATCTTGGCTTAAAACCACAGAATTAAAAAATGGGGTATTTTTTCAAGGTGCCTTTATTTATCAGGAGTGAATCTGTATTGCTCCTGTTTCTGTTGTCTCACCAGGTGGTTTCTGATACATTTTAGAAATAGAGATCAAACACCTTGAATTGTATGCTGTGCAGATAGGATCAGGACAAGATGCAATCTTTGATCCATATGATCACTGCCAGACTTTGGCATTTCAGCTTAAAAGATTATCACCAATACAAAATGGGAACGTCTCACTGATACTCAGAACAAAAGAAAACACACACACAAGCTAAATGCCTGCAAATCTATTTGCAATAGCTGCTGAAAATACTTGGCCCATGCTTCCAATAGAATCTGATGAGCAAACTGCATTCACCTATGGCAGGGCTTGGTATTCTTTTTTTTCTGACAATGGTATTCTAAGTGAAGGCCACGTACTTTAACAGTGCTCTTTGACCCCACTGGCAAAATTCCCAATTTCTTGCTCATCCTCAACAATATGATAATCCCACTTGCTTGAGATTATTGCAATTCTCAATTTTCAACCTTCTGAGTCATGCATTAAATCCATCGTGCCCTCCAGCATCTACTGCAAGATAAAGTTCTACCATGTCTCGCACAATGCTACAGGACCTGTGCTTATATTTGATCCTTGAGCACTTTCCTTCCCTGTCAGTCTGTGCAAGTGAAACACCCTGGGATGATTCCTGGACAGATGGAAGTTTCTCAAGTGAACTAAAAAGGTAGCCATGACACTGACCCTATGTTAACATCACTGACAAGTCGTTATGCAGATCAGGACCCTGTACCAGGAACCAGTGAGACAACGTTTAGGTCGTGCTTAGGTTTCACAGCGGAAGAAAGCTAAACATGACTAGACTAGCAGGGCATTTGCAGAAAAAAATCTTTAATTTATTTCAATCAAAGGGGCTGTCTCTATAAGCATTACACTTAAATGTTATTCTCCAAAGAAAAGTAAGTAATCAGGTAGGGGATACCAAACAGTTACCAGTTGAATAGTTTCTCCCAACAATTCCTTTTTATAGGAAATTAGGACACGTTTGTATTTTTGAAAGTGATTTGTTCTTCGTATCACAAGTCGGTTCTATTATAACGAAGTCCTTTATTATCATACATATTTCATTCTTATCTTGACGTATATAAAAAATAATCATAATGGGTGACAATCATGAATATGAACTCCTTTCTTGAATAGGTATACAATCACTGAATATTTAGCGAAAAATAAGGAACTTAAAAACAACTCATTCTTTGTGTAAATCATCACTAACTACATTCTTGACTTTACAGTATTTCTCACTCAAAAATAAGAAGCATAAAATAAACGGAAAATTAATCTGACTGAACTAATCACATAGCAGAGTCCTTCTATTTATATTCTGAAGAATTTCCTGGGCAACTCAGAAGCTGTTTACGACGTTCCACATATTCTTGCACTGCTGCATTGATGTCTAGATCTCCATCCTCTGTACTAAACAAATGTATACCGATGCGATGAGATTCTCTGTCGGAAATAGAAAAGAATAAAGTAAGGTAATGTCTTAAAAGATTTATTCAAACACAAGGTTAAGAGTATTAACTGCTTTATACTTCCATGATTATGATAATTTCCTCATAATTAATACTAAGTTATTCCCTTTCTTTCCGCCTTCACAATTTCCTTCTCTCCATCTCTGTATTTTCTTCCCTGTCAGTTTCTCTTTTGCTCTACCCCTCTTTCTCTGATATTCCTAGACCTAACACTCTTTCTCTTTCCCTCTCCAAATCTCTCTCTGGCCTTCCCTTCTCTCTCACTGTTTTTCTCTCCTATCCCCAGTTCCTCTCTGATCTTCCTCTCCCTTTCATCGTTTTACTTTCTTCAATTCCCTCAACAATCGTATCAAAATGCAACGATTTATACCTAGACTTACGCCACATTCTAACATTAAATTGTCCAAAACTGACTTTCATACATCCAGGAATTAGCAACACTTTCATGAGCATAATTTTTTTATGCAATCATGGTTCTAAAGTAGTCATTACCGATATAAGATGGGTGCTTCATGCTCTCTGGTGCTGGGATATGACGGTATGATTAGCATATGATCATGTAATGTGCTGTCATGTCTTCTCGATTTCAGACGTCATTGCTGGCTATTCTGGGGCAACGCAGCAACAGCTTGTCATACGCCACCAAGATCTATTGCTCAAATCCTTCGGCTGGGGGGAGAGAGGGGGTGGTGGAAGTGACTACCTTCTGCGAGCACCTGCAGTTTCAGAGGGAGCGTCATCCAAGTTTGATGTTTGGAACACCCTCTCGTCGCAAAAGGATGAAGGACCACCACTACTATCGAGGGAACAGAGTCAGCTGGTGGTGGTGGTGGTGTTGGTTGTTGTTGTTGGTGGTGGTGTTGTTGGTGGTGTTGGTGGTGGTGTTGGTGTTAGTGTTAGTGTTGGTGGTGGTGTTGGTGGTGGTGTTGGTTGTTGTTGTTGGTGGTGGTGTTGTTGTTGGTGGTGTTGGTGGTGGTGTTGGTGGTGGTGTTGGTGTTAGTGTTAGTGTTGGTGGTGGTGTTGGTGGTGGTGTTGGTGTTAGTGTTAGTGTTGGTGGTGGTGTTGGTGGTGGTGTTGGTGGTGTTGGTGGTGGTGTTGGTGGTGGTGTTGGTGTTAGTGTTAGTGGTGTTGGTGGTGGTGTTGTTGGTGGTGGTGTTGGTGGTGGTGTTGGTGTTAGTGTTAGTGTTGGTGGTGGTGTTGGTTGTTGTTGTTGGTGGTGGTGTTGTTGGTGGTGGTGTTGGTGGTGGTGTTGGTGTTAGTGTTGGTGGTGGTGTTGGTGGTGGTGTTGGTGTTAGTGTTGGTGGTGGTGTTGGTGGTGGTGTTGGTGGTGGTGTTGGTGTTGGTGTTGGTGGTGGTGTTGGTGGTGGTGTTGGTGTTAGTGTTGGTGGTGGTGTTGGTGGTGGTGTTGGTGTTAGTGTTGGTGGTGGTGTTGGTGGTGGTGTTGGTGGTGTTGGTGGTGTTGGTGATGTTGGTGGTGTTGGTGGTGGTGTTGGTGGTGGTGTTGGTGGTGGTGTTGGTGGTGGTGTTGGTGTTGGTGTTGGTGGTGGTGTTGGTGGTGGTGGTGTTGGTGGTGGTGTTGGTGTTGGTGATGTTGTTGTTGTTGTTGGTAGTGGTGTTGGTGGTGGTGTTGGTGGTGGTGTTGGTGGTGGTGGTGTTGGTGGTGGTGGTGGTGTTGGTGTTGGTGATGTTGTTGTTGTTGTTGGTAGTGGTGTTGGTGGTGGTGTTGGTGGTGGTGTTGGTGGTGGTGGTGTTGGTGGTGGTGGTGGTGTTGGTGGTGGTGTTGGTGTTGTTGGTGGTGGTGGTGGTGGGGGGGGGGGGCAATGTATCTGGACTCTTGCTAAGGAGGTCATGGGAAACTTCTTAGTAAATGACCTTTGCCTTGCCTTGGGTCAAGACTGACTCTGTTCATTATGAATCACTTGGAAGTTCTGAGACTCAGAGGAAACCAGGTAAAGAATATTATCCCAGTCTCATCCAAAAAAATAACTGAAACACGTCAGTCACATATTATATACCACAAGGTTAACTCTTCTAGTTTTCTCTCCTTTACTACACTCGCCAAAAAGCACTCTTCGTCTCATACGATCCGGTGGCTCCTCAAATAGGACTCTTGTAGTATTCAACAAAACCCCCTTCTCAGTATTAGCCAACGTGATTAATTTACAGATTTTCAAATTTACGAATTGGAAAAAAAAATATACACTATTAACCTCAAACTGTCTGCTTTGTTACCTGCCATGTTACTTACTGAACAGCTGTTTCGATATCTGCAATACTATATGTCTTATCCTCTGCACTGTCATCCGATGTCCTAAATGATTATCTCTAAAGCTTCCTAGTGCTTCGAAGTAAACTGGTCTCTAAAATTATGTCCAGTGTCAAATATCTGTCATGTATCCCTAGCATCCTGTCTTGTCTGTACTTCTGTCCGAGTCCTCACCGGTATTACCATATTTAGGGGGTCATCCATTTTTTTTTTTTTTACAAAACCGTACGCTAGGGGGAGGGGGGGGGGTGTTATTCTCTGGCGTACGCATTTTTGAACATCATAAAAAAATGGCGATCCGGATCAAATCCTGTGGCTGTCATTTTTTAACTTTTTGGCTGTCTAGTCTGGAGGGGGAGAGAGGGTCGTGGGAAATGAGTCCTTTTTGAATGCTTGTGGAAATGGTGAAGAAAATAACGGATGAGCCCTTAGTGTCCCATATTCCCACGATGGCCCGTTTCATTTTCACTCGAATGGCCAGTTCATCATCATCTCCCTCCCTCTCTCTTTTCTTCTCCTCTGTTTAATGTTTCTCTCCTTTCCCCTTCTTCTGTCTGCCTCCTCTCTCTGATGTTCCTCTCCTTTCCCCTTCTTCTCTCTACCTCCTCTCTCTGATGCTCCTCTCCTTTCCCCTTCTTCTGTCTGCCTCCTCTCTCTGATGCTCCTCTCCTTTCCCCTTCTTCTCTCTGCCTCCTCTCTCTGATGTTCCTCTCCTTTCCCCTTCTTCTCTCTGCCTCCTCTCTCTGATGTTCCTCTCCTTCCCTCCCTCTATGTGTCTAAAACTCTTCTATAAATCAAGACTCTCTTACCTGTGCACCTCATCCACATATCCAACGAGAATGCGGTCATCTGTAATTTCTTTGAGGAATGTCGCAGCCTTGGTATTCCAGCGAGCATCTGAATCAACCCCAACGAGCCAGCTCTCTATAGCCTACAAAAAAGAAGAAGCAAAGAGCAGAAAGGTTAGAAAATAAAGGAGACATTATCAGGTAAATGACAATTTCAACGACAAAAATGGTAACGCTACTCTTATAGTAATAACGTTTTCTATATCATTTGTAAAGCGAGAGGACCTGACATTTCAAGTGGCATTCCCATGCTATTTTCTTCTATAATGCTGTGCTATAATTTGCCAAATTATACCAGTTGGTCAGTATAGCACTAAGCAATGATCCATGTATCTAATTTAGATGCAATGCAAAATTCGAAGTGTTTGCTTCTACGAATATACAATTATCACCTACTAGTATTATGTGCAATCTCTATGAGACCACTAACTTTTAAATGAAAGTCCCCTGGTCTACCTCACCATCATTCATTTTTACCACTATATGGCCCTTAAGCAAATAACCTTATGCAAAAATCACGATTTATATTAACAAAATCTTACCTGTGGAGGCATATGACTGAACTGTATGGCTAATGGCTGCAACTGATCTTCTCCGACCCAGGCTATATTACCCACATCTAAAAATAAAACCTGAAACCAGAAGAGAACATCGTTTTACTCATCTCCGTTACCGTCTCTGATATCATGGACAAGGAAGCTGATCACAACCTTTACACAACTCATTTGCATTAGTTCTCCTTTCAAAAAAACACGTTACCAACAGAACCTTGCAGTTATATGTAACATTCATGAAAGAAAAGGGGGATCCTTCGTAATTCATTCACTCTCTTTTACTCCCCTTTCTTCCATGCACAATGCATAAGAGAGGGAAGATTTGAACTACTAAGCTACATGGTTACAGTGTGGTGATCCTGACCGCGCTACTAACGTGCCTGCAACAAGACTGGACAAGTGATGGATCACGTCCTGCTCTCATCATATACAAACTGCACTCCCGGACCTTAGCCCAAGCCAGGCGCTAAACTACTTGTAAGCCTAAAAAAAAGAAAGAAAGAAAGAAAACTACTACTACTATACTGAAAAGAAGCATCCTCGTCTTTTCCCTCTTCTACTTTTCCGTGGATGCCGACGGTTCAGCAGAGGAATCAAAGTAATCTAAAGTTTCTCTGATCACCTTACAAATCTTATCGGATTC